CCCCCCCCCCCCCCGTTCTAGGTCTAGTAGTCTAGTGATCTAGTGTAATATAGTATGATTAAGAACAATGAAATATTTCAAAATCTATTAATTTGCGACGGAAATGAAGTTGATATTTGGTGTTCAGGGCATCAATATTTAGTAGAAAATGGACAACTGGTAGCAGTGTGAGACGGGAGGGAAAGTAAAAAGTACAGACGTACCAATGTTAAAATCTTTTGATGAGCTAATTACACACTGCAGAATGAAAGACCGAGAGCTAGAGGCTTCTTTTAGGCCTAGCCTACTAGAGACTCATTCTTTGAGTCAGTTGGTAGAGAATTTAAGTAAGTAAAAGCTTCCTTTTATTATGAGCTTTAGTCTCCTTTTTTATAGAAGGTCGCCGCCCCCTATTTGGGTTAGGGGGAGTACACCAGTGAAATGTGACGATTGTATAGAACATATTTTAAACTGTAATAGGCCTACTGTATTTTTACCTGAAGCACAATTTTGGCCTACCTCTTATTTAGCAAAAGAACATCGTCGATTAACTGTTGGTAGAGCAATGAAAATGATGACACTACTTGTCTTGTCTGTTTGATTGATACTTAAGTTCTTGATTTTAGTCTACAACCCTAGCGCCCTGACATACTATGCACTGATCCTGATCAGGTTACTTTTACTTTTACTTTTCGTTGTGACTATAGACAAAAATTATATTTGGGCTCTGAAGTGAGTCCAGCATGATGTCCGTTCCGACTTCCGATCCTTGTTTTGTTCCTAAATATTTCCAGCATTTACGAACATTTTTTCGATTATAATGATAACAGTCAAGACGTGAGCTTTAATATCCAGTTACTAGATCTATTGGACCTCCCTGCATTATTAGTATAAACAGAACGACTAAGCTGAGCTGGCCTTGCTGTGGGCAAAGTTAATTATGTCGACCAATGAGACTGCGTGTAGCGGTCACACACTCTCGGCTTGCTGGGGGAAGAGGTGTTGAGAAAAGACCACGGCTGTTGGGTTTGTGCGATGTGATTTAAAAAAAAATTATTACAGAAAAACTGTAACACAACAAACTCAAATTAAACATGGGGAAAGACAAATGGTGGTGGAAGTAATGATGATGCTGTAGTGGTGGTGGAAAGACCCTGAGTGATCGGTTACTGTGTACTTAGACACTGCCTTTAGGTAGATCTAATGAGAGTGCAGTCTTTTGACTTTTGACACAATTAAACAGTCTAGTTCTAATTTTGGTTTTACGTAAAATCCCCTGATGACAGTTATATCATGTAACCTCCTTGCACTCACATAACTCACTTAGAAGCTGAGTCCAAATAAATAAATAAAAAATTTTGGACTGGAGTTCGAATAGATAAAACCCATATTCGGAGTCGAGTCTGAATAGATAAAAATTATATTCGGACTCGAGTCCGAATAGAGGTGGCCTTTACTTTTATACTCTGATGAAACTGAAACCTTCCTGCCTTCACAACCAGTGATAGGGATGAGCCCCTGTAATTTGTTTGGTTACTAATTCGTTTTGATTAGAAGAGAGATTTTAAAGATGGTCGTGATCTTTTTAACCTGTGGCCCAGTCCATTGTCTTTAGGCTGTACTGTTATGATTAAAAAATAGTAGGCTTCAGATTATTGGTATCATGTTGTATCAATTTGATATCACCCTGTCCTCTAAAATCTGATTTATGGGGCGAGGTTCTGCTGCATTATATTATCGAAGTGGCTAGCCGTACTTAAATCTAGGTTAGGCCCTATTGACCGAAACCTGTTGAAGTCTCATTAGATCTAGTAATTATTCAGGTTTAAAAATACATGTGCATGTCAGTAAGGCACCTTTTGGTTTCGTCTTAAATACAATAAAAGTACAGTCGAACCTGCCCTGACGGCCACCTGCACAAACGGCCACTTTCCATTTCTCCCCTTGCGTTTTTTCTATATAATTTAACTGTGTAAAACGGGCACCTGTCCAACGCGGCCGCGGCCACCATATTTTTACACACAACCCCTATCACACTAAGCAATAACACTTGTCTAAGACGGCCACCTTAGTGACTCCATTACGTTTTGTCATAAATCATGCTTTGGCCCCTGGCGTTGTGGGCAAGCCGTCATAATTCAATCACTTGTCGTTGTTGTTAGGTAGTCCCTCCAACTGATCATGTTGCGTAGGCCCCTCCCTCTGTTGCCCAATAGGTAGGCTACCAATTTTCAGCTGCTGGTGAGGTAAGCGTGTGATCCCTCATAACCCATAGGCCCCACCCAGGGCTCATACGCAAATCGTAAGTGAGATGAGTGGTCACTGTATACCAAGTCTGTAACAAAGTAACAATGGACGTCAACATGAACTTGTGACAGAAGCGTCGCTTGTTCTCTAAGTCTAAGTGGGGGCGAACCATGTGTTTGTTTTAACACGGCACTCGGTCTTCCTCGTCTGATACATTTCGAGTTTTTGTCACCCTTGCGCAAAATCAGCAACAAAATAGAAATAACAAACAAAATACAAATCAACAGCAACAACAACAAAAACAACAACTGTCGATTGGGACTTCAGAAGGAAATGGTTTGTTTTCTTCGTCTTGATCAGTCCTGCCTAAGACGGCCACCTGTTTTATACCGTACGGCCACTTTTCTCCTTGACAATGGGTGGCCGTCTTACACAGGTTTGACTGTATTGCAAACTAAACATTTTTTTACAATTCAGCCATCATTATTAATTCATTTGCTACGCCGAGCCGTTGGCAGCGGCTCGGGGCTCGGCTAAAGTGACTTTGCTACGGCAAGCCGCCCCCCCCAACGGCTCGAGAACCCACCTATAATTACTAGCTTAGAAGATGTTATTCCAATCCACATATCCATATTTAGATAAAGTTATACAATGATGACTTCCGGGTCAAGCGTTTCCACCAAAAATTGTATGTTTTGATTCAATTTTGAAACATGATTTTGAAGTTTATGCGACTTTTGTTTTATCACGTTGCCCAAATTATAGCCCAGACATCAGTCTTAGTACTTTTACCTAACTTATTTTAGGCTCTTCTATTAGATTGAGAAACTTGTTGAGTACACAGGTCTCATTAGTAATTATTCAGGTTGAAAACACATGCACTATAAGTAAGACACTTTTTGGCTTCATCTCAAATACACTTTAGGTATTGCAAACCAAAAAATGTATGTCAATGTACAATTCAGTAGGCCTATTTTTTTTTGGGGGGGGGCTATTTGTCAGTCTAGCCATCATTATTAAGTACGGCTAGCCCAGCTGTCTAGCCTTCTTTAAGTACGGCTAGCCTTTTCCTTATATTATACATGACTGATACTTAGATTCTTTTCTGTGTCCCCTTGAAATTACCCATTTTCTGTTTAGAGGCTATATCTTTAATCGTTTACATTTAAAATATCTTTTCACACCAAACATGACATGATACCACCAGTCACAAACAGTTCAGTATATTATATTTGCATCAAAGTCAATGATATGAGAACCTGGTGTCCACAAAAGTATTGACGCACACAGACATACTGATCAGTGATTAATGATGATCACACTTTTTAAGTTGGCGGAACAGATCTGAGTCTCGGGTGTTAGATATCCTCTGTACTCTTAATCTTCGAACACTGGCTGTGTGGCAATTTTTAAGTTTTGAGTCATCACGTTAAGTTCTTAGAGGGGGCGGAACGTCTGAGTTGGAAGATCGATTTCGCAATGATGTTCCTGTTTGCCTCCTATTATACCATGTCTAATTATCAATATTTAACCTCAACATTGAAGTATTGGAGTAGGTTGCCATGACCGAGATTAATAAGGGGGATAAATATAACTTTCTGTTTTGCTTCAGAAAGTCATCAGATCTGGTATTGTTGTCATTGTTGTGGCAAAGGGAATTTTTTTTGTCAAAGTTGCTAAAATTTCACAATTTATACCATATCATAAAAATTTTCTATGGTAATCTCTCTTGCTGAAGGCCATGAGAAAAAGGGTAGGCTTTTATATATGCTGTACGCCTTTTGTTGGTTCTTCAGGAATTTCGCTTATCATGTATGTTTTTTGTTAGGCTAGTGGTTGTTACTTTCTTCCTGCTTCTTTTTCTCAATTTTTTTTCTTCTCTATCTTGACTTTGAATTTAAGCAATTGATAGAAAAGAGTAAATAGTTCATAGGTTTAATAATTTTAATTTAGCAATTCAACTACTAGTATAAATAAATTGATTAGTTTCACTTAAAGCTTGTCTGAAAGTCCACTTTTAGTCTAATTCCAGTTTAGTCTACAGTTCCAGTTTAAAAACCTGGGTTTTTCCCTTATATAAAACAATTTTACAATGCAAAAACATTTATTTTTTTATTTTTTTCAGTTAATTACACAGGGAGGATGTGAATGTGAAGGCCATGGTTATTTTCCTGTTTTCATTTTTTATTAATTAAAAAAGAATCATTCTAATAGAATGAAACATGAAAAATAGAATTATTTTGATATGTGGTTTGGTTAGAATATATTAGACAAGAGAGTGTATCTTTTTTATTTGTACTTTCTTCAATTTTTGTTTTCTTTTTTGTGCTGTCACTTTCGTATTATATTGTTTTTTTGCCACATAGATATATAACTGATAATTCAATGCAATTCTCCTGCTTTGGCCTGTCAGATTCAGCTGTTGATAATATTATATATTGTGCCAAGGGACCTTCTCGAGCTCTCATGTTTCCCTTCTGTGTTTTCAGAAAATGGAAGTTTTCACAAAAACTCACTGCAGCCATCCCAGAGGAGCTGCCCGGGATCTCCATTATAAAGCCCTTGGTTGGAGTTGACCCCCATCTTTTTGACAACTTAGAGACGTTCTTTAATATGAAATATCCCCAGGTTAGTATATTATTGAATTATTGTATAGACTCCACTGCAACTGTTACCAGGCTTGTGGTCTTAAGCTGGGGTTAGAAACCTGTTTTTGCGAGTGTTTGCCATTGATTTTCTTCCCTTTTAATCAGCAACAGCTGCTTTTCGTATAATCAAGAATCCAATATGTTTGTGTTTCAGTGGTAGGCCAACAGGAGTTTTTAAGGGGAATGACAGAAATGGTGGTAATAAGAAATTGACTGCCTCGCCGCCTTTCCTTCAGCTGAAGGCTTACCTTTGTGTATTTATAAACTGTAGTTACATTGCGTTGGCCAGCTGTTCAGATGTATTAGCCCAAAATTATGAAACATTAGAAAAAAAATTGCAGTTTCTTAATCTATGGCATTGGTTTCATATATGCTCAAGAAATAATGATAATAATAATTTAAATAATTATAGATTGCATTTATAATATATAGCGCTCTATCCCATGCCCCATACGAGTATGTATAAGCTCTGAACGCAAGTCAAACACTTGATCAATGAGCGTAACACTTCATTCACACAAGATAAAACATTTCACAGTGACAAGAAAACCAGTTCAACCACATAAAGAGGAACTTTCACGACCTTTATACAGGCAATGACAGCAATAAAAACAATACATATCGGTACTTTCTAACAAACTACAACTAAGAATTAAACAAATGAGTCTTTAGCAATCGCTCATATAGATGTTAAGATTTGTTCTTTCTCTGAGGTCCTGGGGCAAGAGGTTCCAGATTTAACTGATTCCGTCCATGATTTTTTCAGGCTCTGGACAGAATTATTTTTCCTCGTTCAGTTTTAGACCTGGGGTGCATCTATTTAATGCATTACTGTGAAGCTATAAGTTACTCTAATAGGTATTGTCATATACCAAAGTGATGGGAATCAATAGAGGAATCTGTTTTTATTAATAACAATGACCTATAATCTGTTTGTATTGAATTTTCTGTCAGACAAAAACGAATAAGGAAAAAAAATTGCGCAACTCGTCTTCGAAAATTTCGACATACCGCATTTTCTCAGCTCTACAAGTCCTTATAATCCATAGGAATCAACACAAAATTGTAGCGATATCACCCTAGCACACACTTATGCAAGAATTTCACAAATTTAGTTGAATATCTTTCTTTGAAGGGCCTTTTTCTTATACCAGGCTCCGTGTTATTTACCCTTAGATCTAGCCTACATCGCGACAACAAAACAACAAATTTTGCAAGAATTTCACAGAGTTTCAATCGATATTGGCGCTCAGAGATTGAGGTCAGGTTAGTTTACAAGTTCTACTTCCTTTTGACAACTTAAAAAGTAGGAACTAAGTTGAAAAGTGCACATTTGTTTCGGATTTCGTTGAGCCGCTCACAGCGGTCGAATGGAGGCAGCGGAAAAACTCTGAGCCGCTGTCAGCGGCTGAGTGGACAGAATCAGTTAAGGATTAAAAAATGAGAAACTTTTCTCACCAAAAGATCTTTATTTCTTTCTAGGGGCTCTGAATTTTGTTGCATCTGTCTGTGGATGAGCGCAACTGGCGAGATGAACATACAGTGTTAAAAGCTCAGACAGATATGATGGGGCATTATTGTGATGACATTTTAACGATAAATATTTTGTTTGAGTTGAAATTTGAAATGCTCCCCCCCGGCGCGCCCGCAAAAAAAGATACATAATGTAGGTGCAATTGTTAACTTTTTCACTATCGCGAGCTATGTTTGACAGCTCGTGTTACTCCCAACACTGGACCTTAGCCATGTTTCACAGCTTGCCACTTCCTGCTTCAGACCCATATATATATATATATATATTTTTGTTACCATTGAAACGGAAATCTCAGGCTGAAGATTGATTGTTTTTTGCAACATGTTGAGATAGGTAGTTATTTCTCCTTTATTTTCATATATATATGATAATACATGTGGCTAATATTAAAAATCGGACTCAAAATTTTTCTTTTGTCAGATGGTAGGCAGAATCAGAAAGTAGGTCACAGATTGGGTCCGGTCCAGTTGAAGAGAAACCCCTGGTGGTGTAAGAGTTAAAATAATAAAACTTTGTTTCTCTCTTGAAAAATTTTGCTTTCTGGGCTTAGTTAGTACATTCTTTTGAACAGCTTGCTGGTGTTGTATTGTATTTAATTCCAAGTTTTTGGTTTTAAAGAGAGAGAGAATGTTTTACGGAGCGGGTTGTTTCAACACGCGAGACATGTATTTACTAATGTCCTGTCTTGTGCATATGCGTGAGTGCACATGTGTCGTGCACCTAAGCTTTGTAACATCTTCTACCACTGTAAACGACCAACACAAATTTCTCCGTGCGAGATGAATAAAGATTGTCATTGTTAATGTAACATTTTAAAAATATAAGCAATATGGATGCGTCCATGATTTGAAGCATGTTTTGAAATTGTCGTCTCCCCAGTGCCAGCAGCAAGCTTGTTTACGCCAAATATTTGCCTGGGTTCTGGGTTTGACAAACTGTGGCATATATGTGTTACCTGTTAAAAATAAAAGGTTATGCCTTGAAAGATATATGGGACCAACTGCTTGATGGACTTGTCTTTGCCCCTCAGCCCATGTCTCTCTGTCTTTCTCTCTCTTTTTCTCGCTCTCTCAGGCCTCTTAACATCCTAATGAGCGTAGGCCATCAATTCTGGGTTAAAGATTTCTTTCTAACTTGCGTCTCTTTCTCCATTTGAAGGTGTGTATTCCTGTAGCAATTTTAATAGTAAAAATGTAATACTTCTACCATAATAATATGCTGGACATAAAGTCATGTGTTGTTGTTTTTTCTTTTTCGCAGTTTGAAATTTTATTTTGCATTCAAGATGAACTGGATTCTGTTATCATGATTGCTCAAAGTTTGATTCTGAAATACCCAAAGGTGGATGCAAAGATATTTATTGGTGAGTTCATCTGCACACTTTTGTGCTTTTTACTTTCACTGGACTGCTGTTATTACTGAACATCCATAATAATATTATCATTATTATTATTAATATTGTCTTTTGTTTGAGACAGTCATATTAAGCCAGCTACATATTTGGAGTATAGCTCTTTTCCTTTACTATGGGACTTTTTAATCATTCATATTTATCTCACCTTAATGTGACCTTATGCAGTTGTGAGTGCCATAAACTTTAACCAAAACTTACCATTGTTTTATGTGCAAGTTAATGTAAAAAGCATTCTGTTGTGCTTGTTTTTTGCGCTCAGTGTGTCAAGAATTGAATTTTCACAAGTGGCTTCTGTATGGTCTATTTATTGTGTTTAGGATGATCAGTATGTTTAGTTGTCATTAACTCTTTCACGCTTTTTTCTTCTTCTAATTTCAGGTAAGAAAAATGTAGGAGTAAACCCAAAGATTAACAACATGATCCGTGGTTATGAAGCTGCCAAGTATGACCTGTTCTTGGTATCCGACAGCAGTCTCAAAAGTGAGTGCACACCCTCCCTAGTTTTTCTGTGTTTGTTGTTGAAAGCACTGCTGTAAAATGTAAAAACATTTCATCGATATTTTATCATGGCTTGAAGACAATGTTACAATTATAGAGAGTAATTCAACAAATGTGAAGCGTGCTGACAAAATGAATTACTTCTCGCAATCCACAAATGCAGATATTAGCCAAAAATCGACATTAGGGTCAAATTTGTAGATTTTCAATTGATGCCATTTTCTTTAAGTGTTACATTTCTTTCATTATTTCATACTTATAAATTGTAAAAACTTCACTTACATGCGTGATGTATTAATTTCCATAGGGCTCAAATCTGACAAGTAGCTCTTATTTTGTCAGCACACTTCACAAAGGAGGATTCTTTGTATTTATATTTTATGCTGGCCTGACCCTGTTTTCTTTTGATGTTTTTGTCACGACATGGTGGAATAAGGTACTCGTTAATTTTTGGTCATGTGGAGTTATTGGTATAAATAATCTTAAAGCTTGTTCATTTGTCTTGCTTTTGGTGAAGAAAATACCTATTTATGTTGAAAAGAAATTGAGATATTACCGGTGATACCAAGATGTTCAAAGCCTTTATGTCAAGTCAAGTGTCTTAGAAGCTGCATTTGTGGCTTCCTAATTGTTCTTGTAAATGAATGAGTGGCACATGTGGGTTTCTTTCAGAATGTCCTAGTTTCGCTCTTTATGATATGTGGCTTAGTGGTCAGGCTCTCGGACTCGCAACCATACATTACGGTCGTGGGTTCGAATCCCGTCGGGGGCCGGACGTGTCTTTGGGAAAGACACTTTACACAAATTTTCCTGACTCAGCTATAGACAGTGAAAGATCTTGTCAGTTTGTTAGTCTTTGAGCACTTAATCAGCTACGTGCATTGTATGCTTCCTGGGAAGCTAAGAACGTTTCTGAGCGTTCTATGGTCTGCTGGGGTAATAATATAATGTGTGTAAAACGCATAGAGCTTGTTGTTGGGTGGGGATATGCGCTCTTCAAATGCTATTTATTATTATCATTACAGGGATGCCGTTTTTCCGTTTTTGCCGTTTTTCTGGACATTGTCCGTTGGGAACTTTATTTTGGTGTTTTTTTGGGGGGGTTGAACTGACATGATGCTGTTTTGTTGCATTTATTGTTTCGTCGCATTCAAAATTTAGTCTCGAAAAAATCTTTAGTTATTTTCTACAAAAGTCCAGTGGCATCCCTTATTATTATTTTTATTTTTTAAATTATTATACGTTTTTATGAATTCTGTTTCCAGTGAAAGAGGATTCCCTGACGGACATGGCGCTGCACATGACTGAGGGTGTTGGTCTTGTACAGCAAATGCCCTACGTCTGTGACCGGACTGGCTTTGTTTCTCACATGGAAAAGGTGAGTGAATTTAACAGATACATTTAAGTCTGGTTTTTAGGTTTCTCCGTTGTTTCATGGGTAGATTAGGTAGTCATTTTCTATTCTACCTGAAGACAAAACATCATTGATTGAATGATTGAACCTCCACTTGCTCTAAAGTCTTTAAGTTGATCCAGTTATCCGCATTCCTGTTCTGTCTTTTTTTTTTGATGGATGCTTTATTTGTGAGGCAGCGTGGTGGAATCAGGCTCTCGTCGATTTTTGGGCTTGTAGAGTTATTGGTATCATCTTAAAGCTTGTTCACTTGTCTTTATTTGGTTGAAAAAGATATCCATTTATCTTGAATACAAGTCGAGATATTTGCGAAGGAAGAAGGTGGGGGTCACCTGTGTTCAGATGTAAAATTAGTGAGAAAATGGCCGCCAAAGATCAGTTATTTCTTTTGCTTAAGAGTCAGTGGTAACTGAAAATTTACGTTTTTTGTGCATTTAATCAACGTAAAAAAAAAAATCCAAACAGAAATGAGTTCTTTAATGGGCATGAAAGGTGTTGAACCAAAAAACAAAAATTTGATAAAAATTCTCAAAGCAAATTTATAATTGCTGTATTATCGTATATGTCTTTTTTTTTTGTTTCAAAAGGTGTTTGTGAGTCACAGCAGAAGGGTGCAAGTCTGTATGTTTATGATAACTTCAAATGGTATTATCAACTGGTTATTTCTGTGGTGAATTAACTGGCATATATTCATGTATTTACTTTACTTCCAGATATACTTTGGCACGTTCCATGGCAAGATGTACTTGACTGCTAACTTTTTGGGCATGAACTGTGCTTCTGGCATGTCTACGCTGTTCCGAAAAGATATAATTGAAGAAGCTGGAGGTTTGGCATCTTTTGGCAAGTACCTGGCTGAGGATTATTTACTGGCTCAAGCAGTTTTAGACAGGTGAGAATTCCTCTAGTTTCTACTTACCTACTGAAAAGCAGTTTGTCATTCTTTTTTTAGGCATTCTAAAGTGATGACAGCTTTGAAAAACCCACTTTTAACTTTAAACATTTTTTTAGGGGAAGATGCGAATAAACTCTCACTTTTTTTGCTGTGGATGAAGTCAAGAAAATGTATTGAAAAATATTCAGGAAAGAAAATAAAATGGAAGGGCTGTGGGATTAGAAATGATGGTTATCAAAGATGCCTGACTTTTTCTTTATAATTTGATGGAGCAGAATAGAATGGCCAGTCTGATGGCTGCATATTGCATCACATTATAAAAGGATTGAAACTTGTAAAGAAGACCAAGCCAAACACAACCTGATACATCGCCTACCTGTCGGAAAACTGGTTCATTGTTTTTCTTTTACGATGAGATCCCAAATTCAAAACGAGGCGTGTCAAGAAGAGGAAATGATCGTAATATCAAATAATCGTTATTGCAACATTCGCAACACAGTTCATTCCCGTTTTTACATTTCAGAACAACATTCATTACAGCTGGGTTGTTCTAATGAATATTAGTGTATGGACTTGCAACTTTCAGGGTGTCTCTGATTTTTTTTTAAATCATGAAAAACTGATAGGTATTTACTGGTTCAAAGAGCACTCACTGTCTTTGTAGATTGTTCCAGCTGATTTTTTTGTTAACAGATCAACTAGTGGTGTGATACTTGTCTAGCGTTCATGACGTCATTTGATATTTGAACCATGTATACGTCTCTCTGATTATGTTGAAGTACCACTTGACCTTCAGCCGTCTAAGGCATGTCATCACTGATGATTCTCCTAACCTGTCAAGCAGGTTTATCAAGATTAGGTTTCGTTTCATGCATTTACCCAAGGTCAATCTTAGAAAGGTAAATTCAGCCCCTTTAAAGTGTGAACATTTTTTAAATAATTATGTTTTTAATTGAAGCTGATAATTGCAGTTTTATTATTTTTTATTAAATTTTATTTTGAGTATGATAATATAATCAATATGTAACTTTGCTTTGTCATATCTTTGCAAGCAGATTTTTCAGAGAGTTAAAACTAAAGAAAAGGGAT